TTGGATGAATTCCGGTGTGCAAGCTGTAAAGATGAGTTCTTTTTGGTTTTTGTAATCATCCACAACTGAAGTGGAAACTATGTTATTTTCTAACGCCCTTTGCAGGATTAATCGACAGATACTAATAATATTTTCTCAAAATTGTTTTTTTTTAATTTCAATGTCAGCTGAAAAATATTGGCTTTTGTATGACGATTGCATAAATATCCTACAGTGGGACTTTATTTTACTTTTCTTGTTAATAAGACTTTATGTGTTCTAATTTTTAGTTTATATCATGCCCAGCTGGTTTTTCATTCTGGTTGTTAATTTGTTGCCATTTAAACGATTAATAATTTGTCATATCTTCATCATTTAGGTAGAAGGCATTGGGGGTTTCCTAGACGGTTTCTTGTGAAGTAGGCTAGTTTCTTGTGAAGTAAATTGTACCACATTGCATGATACAATTCATTATTATGTAATTGAATTATTGGAATGTTTTTGAATTATTGGATGTATTGGATGTAATTAGACATTGAATAATTATATTGAAGTTCATTATTTTTTTTTTTTAGTTTGAGAAGCAATTATTATTTCTTATATATTTTATAAAGATGCATTTTAATTTTTAAAAGATAAATTGATGCATTTTAATTTTTAATTTTTAAAAGATATGAGAACTAATATTTAAGTTGTTGTATATTTAACAAATGCAAAAATATATACAATTTTGAAAATTTTCAAAAATTTCGAACATTTCGAACATCTCGAACAATTCGAATTCGAACAATTCGAACAATTCGAACATTTCCGAACCGAACACGAACCGACCATTCACAAACAATTTCGAACACGAGCCTATTTCAAACAAACTATATTTCAAACGAACCGAACACGAACACGACCGCTGTTCGTTCGTGTTCGGTTCGTTTACACCCCTACTTGGAGGGACGGAGGTCAGGTATCCGATTATGGAGAAACTAACATTTGCTTTAATTGTATTGGCCGGTTGGTTGCGACTCTACTTTCAGACGCATCCCATCCAGGTGATCACAAATAATCCACTGAAGATTCCAGCCGGCTACTTAAGTGAGGAGTGAAATTGAGTGAGTTCGATATCACCTATGTTCCTCGAACTTCTATTAAAGCTCAAGCGGTTGCAGATTCCCTGGAGGACAGGATGAAGAAGGTCAAACTGACCGACAAGAGTGGCTCCTGTATGTGGATGGCGCCTCAAGCAGAACCCGAGTGGGACTAAGGCTTGCCTTGAGAAGTCCAGTCGTAGAATACTTATACCATTCAATGACTGTGAAATTCAAAGTGACGAACAATCAGGCGTAATACAAAACTCTAATTAATGGCCTTGGCCCAACTTATGAGATGGGCGTCTGGTTCCTCATCATAAAATCAGACTCGCAGCTTATAGTGAATTCGATAAACGAGGAGTTTAAGGCCAGGGACGAGACAATGATAAAGTATCTTAACAAGGTCCAGGCGAAAATTTGAAAATTTGCACATATCCAGATCAAATATATCAGTAAAGAAGAAAATCAATTGACTGTCATGTGATGATAATGTCCTTTTTTTAATTATACATATTCATGATTGGGTTATTACAACTTTATAAAATTGTCTCATATTATGAAATTTATTGTAAGTTTAAAATTTATAAAACTGAAAATTTTAATAAACTTTAAACCTGTAATTTTAATAATTAAAATCATTGAAACGTATACCAAAATTATTGAAACCCTGAATATAGTAGCATCCACAATGAGATTTTTGCAAAATTAAAACCCTGAGTCATTAAGAGAGAGTTGTGGGCACGTCCATGCCTACTTCTGGTTGGTAGGATCTCAGTGATCGCTGAAACTTTTGGAGAATATTAGGTTGCTTATAATTAAGAACACTTGTTATATTATGTTTATATGATTTATATTTAGTTGAATTGCATATATTGTACTACCATTAGCTTATTTATTTTCTATCTCAATCTATTGCAATAATTAGTTTTGCAAATTGAGGTGCCTTTTGCTAAATGTTGCAAGAACTACAAAAAGTATAAGACTCGCCAAGATTACATTCTATACAATAGCTTTTATGGCTAAATGCCACTTTTGAGTTTTCTTGACACAGTTAACTTAGAAATAGGGTTGTAATCGAGTCGATTCGAGCTGAGTATATCATGGTTCAGACTTGGTTTGGTCTAATTTTAAGTTTTTCATTTTTGGCCTGAGCTTGTGTCAAGCTTTTATATATTGTGCAAGCTTGATTTGCTTAAATTCTTCCATGTCTGAACTTGATTTGTTTATGAGAAGTGAACAAGTATTTAAACGAGCTAATAAACGAGTAAAATTCAAACAAGTATCTAGATTTTTATATAAAAGTTCTATAAATAATTTTTCAAATCTGTTGCACTTACTACTTTATTGATTATAAACTCATTAAAATGAAAGGTAACTCATGAACTATGATCATATGAGATGTAATCTCTCATATTTTAGCATAATCATACTTCTAAGTTTGTACTCAACTCCCACATTCAAATGTAGGTGTTGGTTTTTCATAATGATATGCACTTGTCATTTTTCTTAGTTTTTTGGACAATTTTGTAAATGTATTTTATATTGAGTTGTTGGACCATCCGTATTCTTTATCATATATAGTTTACAATGATTGCACTGTACTACTTAATCGGGTCAAACTTATTAGAATAGTGGAAAGGGGTTATATACGAGATATTAGACTTTCAGAGATCCTTATGAGCTACAATCTCGTCGTTGCCTTTGATGCTAAGTTTTGGGCGAAACACAGAGACTCTAAATTGTGAGAGACCAAAGGGAAAATGAGGTTTGTGAGGTTTTCAAGTTAATTTTAAGGAGCATTTCATACATATCAAAATAAGTCTTATGTATTTTCACGTTTAAAACCTAAATTTTAATAAAATAAATATATAATTAATATCTACATGTTAATAATAAAATATATAATTAATAATTAATCTTAAAGTATTATTGATATAATAATATATTACTATTAAATTTGTAATTAAATAAATTATATTTAATTAAATATTATTTAAATAATATATCACGTATGACACAAGTTATCATCAAACTTAATATGGAGTTTTTAACAAGTAACTTGTTGAACAATAAATGAGTTTGTTCATGAACATAGATAAACAAGTTCGGCTAGGTTGATTTCTAGTTCATTGAGCTCCGAGCTTTTAAAAATTATCCAAACTTGTTTATTTACTAGTTTGAACGAATATGCACAAGTCTTAATCTAGCCCAGTTCGAGTTGTTCATCGAGTGCATTGGTTCATTTACAGCCCTAATTAGAAATGACGCTATGGACTGCCATTAGTTTCACAGTCACTCAGTTTCAATGATTTTAATTTTGTAGATCATTATGATTTCTATATTTAGGAATTTTTTTTGTTCCTGCTTTAGATATTAATGTGTTTATCGGGTTTATTTGCATATATCTAAACATGGAAACAAAAAATGTAATGATCTTACATATGAGGAATTGTTGAATGATTTATATACGTGACTTCTGCTTATTATTTGTAATCATCAGATATTATGTTTTATTTTTAGATTTTCTTCAATTGCTTTTTTCAGGGATGGTTATTGGATCAGTTTGGTGTTCTTCATGATGGGAAGAAACCGTACCCCGGCGCCATTTCAACACGTATTGCATTTATTTCATATTTGAATATATTTATGTATATTTATAATATTTAAAATTTTGTTATCTGGATGTACGGTAACATTATTCTATCATTATAGTGGAAAATTTAGCAAATCATGGGGCAAAGATGGTAATTATAAGCAATTCTTCCAGAAGAGCATCCATAACAATTGAGAAAATGAAGGACCTTGGTTTTGATTCTTCTCTCTTTCTTGGAGCTATCACAAGTGGAGAACTAACACACCAATACCTTCAAAGGTCAGGCTTTTTTTAATCTCTATTTATTGGTTATAAAGAGAGGGGATTTTAGTGCATTTTGCATGTCAATATTATATTTTGTGAGGAATCTATGATCATTGCGTGATATATTCCAATGTTTTACTCTTTTACATCATTATTATAAATTTTAAATTATTTTTTATGTCCATTCTCATTCCTAATTTAGTGCCAGTGCTTCAATGATAATCTAGTGATTTTAATTATTAAGATCTTGCTACATTAATTATGTTTTGCCAGTAGATTTATTCCTTCAAAAAGATACGAAAAAAAAATGGAAGTTTGACATTTTCACCGATTTCTTCTACTTTGACATAAACAGGAGGGATGATCCGTGGTTTTCAAAATTGGGAAGATGTTGTGTTCACATGACATGGTGTGATCGAGGTGGAATATCTCTTGATGTATGCTCACTTTTGTTGATTTTTCTTTTTTTTTTTTGATCCTTACAAAAGCATGTTCTGCTTAAAGCTAAAATGATTAAAAATCATTGGAATTTATTTTTATTTTTCTCTAGAAGAAATTCAGTGTTACATAATTCTATTGAACTATTTGCTCTGTTTTTGCTATGTTAATTTTGCATGTTGTTTAATAAAAGCTATTCCTAAGATAACATCCTTGGCCGCTGAACTTTCGGATCAGCTATAGACATTTTGATTATTCTAGTGTACCATTTTCACTTTTATCTCTGTTATTCTCCATAACTCACTTCTAGTTGTTTTTCTTTTAGTTTAGTTATATATATATATATATATATATATATATGTGGGACGTCCCTAGCACTTTTGCGCCCATTGGTGGCTTTTTGGTTTTTTACTTTTATGTATCTTTGCTTCATTTGAATTTTTTATGTGTTGTATTGTGTGAGTTGAGTTTTCTTTTAGGCTCTCTCATATAACCTTTCTGTATCTTTTCCGTTTTAATAATATATATATATATATATATATTGAAAAAACCCTAGGGCAATTATATTAAAAAGGAAAATATACAGATAAGTTGTCTGTATGGGTGAGCCTAAACACCCAACCCACATGATACAACACACACGAAAAAATTTAAAAGATGGGTACATATAGAAATAAAAAGAAACAAAAAACCACCCGGGGCCTAAAAATCACCCGGGCGCTGAAAAAGTGTGTCATCCCAATCTAGTCTTGCCTCTGGCTCTAGTTCTCGGTAGTGATCCAGCTAGCAGATTGGTAAGGTGTTGACCATTACTCGTAGTAACCAAAGTATCATCTATAAGACTCCTGAGCTCTAGTAGATCTCCATTCTTCTTCTTCCTCCTGGAAGTGTAATTTTTAACCCTGCCATTCCTCCTCCGAAAAATCCGCCTGATGGGGTAGAGCTGAACCAGAATGAACAGTAGTACCCACAATAGGTTATACAATATGAGAAGTGTGAGTTGCCGCTACACAGGTTACTTCTTGAAGAAGTGGAGCTGCGAGGGTTTCCTGGTTATCAGTCTGAACACTATCATTTATAGGCCATAGTCCATCAGAATTGTTTTGTATGGAGTTTGTCGGTGCCAGCATCGCATCACCCGCAGTAACAGTAACAGCAGTGTCATGGGGGGGTCATCAGGTGTAACAGACACCTCCTGTCTGGTATTATCATCCTCAGGTGGAACTAAAATGTTTAAACCCATCCTTATTCACTTGACCCTTAGATTTCAAATTAGGATGAAATTTGTGGCATTTAACAAGGATATGACCAAATATTATACAGTGGGTACAATATGGGGGTTTGTGTTCCATGACGATTTGTTGCCAATAACCATTATGGGTTGTGCCCAGCCAGACTTCAGTAACATCTGCTAAAGTAATATCCATTTCCACAAGTATTCTGGCCACCGAGGGTCTAGTTAGGTTGAAAGTGGGCAGATCTAGTTTCAAAGAATCCCCAAGGATGACCCCAATAGAGTAGAGAACCTGATGGTGAAAAAAATGTAGCTTGAGATCAGGTAAACTAAACCATACCGATACAGTGCGAGTTTCATGATTTGGGTCGAAATTAGGAGACCACTTGAGTAACTTCATTGATTTGCCTTCGATATTAAGATATTTTTTGGAGAAAATTCTGGTGTAGTCTTCAACCACTGTTAGTTGGATCAACACATGTCTCCTATTCTTGAGTCCGACTTTCCACTTGCCTACTAGCTTAAGATCATCAACACACTTTCTGACAACCTCCATAGGAAGGGTGTACCCACTGAAATTTTCCAATAAGAACAAACTTGATTTTTTTCGTCAGGGTAGAAATTTCTATTTCAGAGAAAAATGTTGCATCGTTTCCTCCTTTCTTGTTTCCCTTTTTAATAAAAGGACAATCATCTGTACCCTCACGAGATTTCTTATAACTTGAGGGGAATCTCACTGCGGACTCTACCTGAGGGTTATCCACCACGTGAGCAAAGGAGTGAGCAAAGCAAAGGAGACTTTGTCCGGCTCAACCAAATAAGAAGGAGGCGCCATCAGAGCAAGGAGAGCTGTCGGAGTTAAGCTGCAGCAAAGTTGCTACTGCAGGAACAGTGAGCTTCATGAGCAGAACAGAAACGCGAAGCTTCGAGACTCGTTGATCAGGCAAACCCGAGCGAGCGACGCCGAGCAGACTCTTCGAGCAGAGAGAAGACGAACGCCGAGCCGACTCACGCCGAGCAGACGCAGACGAACGCCGAGCAGCAGGACGCCGACGAGGCGGGCGCGAGCCGACCGAGGCAGAAAGGGCGAGCGACAGAATCAATGGAGATCGTCATTCGAAAACTTAGCAGAGCAGTCGTCCGCCATTCGTCCGCATTCATATATATATATATAGATATAGATATATATTATTGGTTTTGCAGTTTGTGGGAAAATCTAATGTATAAAAGATACATTCATGATGTCGATGATCTTTCTTGTCTTAATAATCACGCTGAACAAATTTGTTATAATTTGGGCGCATCTTGAAAGGAGAGTCATCCTGTCAATGCTGTTGACTTAAAATTTAAATCAGTAACATTTCTCATTAAACAGTGATATGATGAACTTACTTTGCTTTGTATTAGAACTTCATGAAGGATCCTTTTAAAAAACTGATCATCCACCTTTTCTAAACATAATGGCCATCGGATTATCTTTATTAAAAAAATCAAATTTAATTCATGTAAAAGTTAATGTAAATATAGAATTTGTTTACATGAAATTAAGCATGTTATTCCTTGTTGTAGGGGTTGGGCTTGCAAGTGGTGAACCGGGTAGATGAAGCAGATTTTATACTGGCGCATGGTACTGAAGCACTTGGTCTACCTTCTGGTGATACACAACCTACGAGCATTGAAGAACTTGAGCAAATTTTGGAGCATTGTAGCAAAAGAAAAATTCCAATGGTGGTAGCTAACCCGGATTTTGTTACTGTTGAAGCTAGACATTTGCGCATCATGCCTGGTAAGTTTGGTAAATAAATACTATATTCTATTGATTTCCTTCCCCAAGTAATTCTGATGCTGTAGCTATGCCGGCAAAATCTTCATTCTGATGCTTCCAATTTTTATGCAATGGATGATTCTGGTTTTGTTTAAGATAACTTTGTCTGTCACTTACGGCTTGCAACTGTTATCTTTGTAGGAACACTTGCCGAGAAATATGAACAGGTTGGCGGCATAGTTAAATGGATGGGGAAACCTGATAAGGTTAAATCTTACACATTATTTTTTGCTCGATTCTCTTTTGTTTGTCATGGTTTTTGACTTATTGTGAATGCCCGGAAATTTTGTTGTTTTGTAGTAGTTTTTTATCATGTTCTGATTTAGAGCACTGCAGCTGTACTGAAGCTCGGGATTTATGCCATTTCCACTTTCAGATTCTAAACAGGACCTTAAATTCTGGCCGGAGAGACTATATGTAGTAGTTTTTGACTAAATACTGTTACATATTCCTTAGCTTTGCAGTTAAGTCAATCCGCTGGTAATTATTTTGTCATCTTATTCTTTACTACGAGGCGGTTGTTCTTGGGAAAGTCTATTTATTCTTTTGAAGATAACCTTAATCCTGAGGGTTTCTTTGATTAGACCTATAAAGCTGTCTCACAGTTGACAGCCCCACGCCCCCCCGCCTCCGCACCCCCCTCCCCTCTAATGATATGGGATCTAAAATCGGTGCTTTGATTCTGTGCTTGACTCGGTTTCCTGAATTTGGAAGGCAATCCATGACATCTAATGGATGGATGAGGCAATTCATTATTTCATGTAAAGTGTAAGTGGGACCCACAAGTTTATATCATGCCTAAATTTCACTTTTGATACATACATTTCTTTGAAAACCTTCTAGGGGTGCTATCCCCTTCTAGGTTGCTACAATGCCTCTTTGTCTACTATAATGTTTGACTGCTGGAATGTGTTCTCGATTATAGCTAGCTGCTACAATGCATCAATTGCCGAATTACCCGACTTCCTCTCCCTTCTAATTCTCTTTATTGTGCGATGCAAGAAGGATTGACAGAGGGTCAATTTATGGATTATAAAATATTGGTTTAGGAAACAAAGTTTCACCATATGGTAGGTCTATATGATCTCCCGAATTTCTGTATCAGTTCTCCGTTCCACAGAAACTGAATTCAAACATAATTTTAGGGTTCACATTAATGAACTGATCGCATACCATATTAAGGGAATTCTAAATTTTGAAGAAAATTTGTCTTCATATCAGCTAAAAAGTATTCCCTTGAAGATTAAATTTGGCTGTATTTAATAAATACTTCTTTTTGGGTCCCCTTAGAGATCATTTTGAAAAGTTCAAATTGTCGTAGGGCCAAACACAGAGCAATTTAACTCTGGTTAAATATTTCAATTCCAAACAGTCGCATGAGTTCTCATCAGGATTACTATTTTGTATCATAATGGATCCATCAGAATAAAATGTATTCCTGCCATTAAATTTTTATACTTCCAGAGTAGTTAACTTCTCACTCCAAATGATGCACTAACATGACTTGGCACTAAGGTAAGACTATTTGATATAAACATGATCTATCTAATATCCTTATATGGTTTTGTTTGGGATAGCTTTCCTCCTGCTTTGCGTTTCAGACCACCGCCATAGCTTTGCTTGGGAAACTATTTTATTGCTACTTTCTAGAAATTTTTGTGGTGGAATCTATTTTTTTCAACTTGACTTGTTAAAGTGCCATGGCTGTAAGAATGTTGTTGTCAGATTTTTTTGAAATATATATATATATCCACCGCAGCTTTTTACGAAGTTGTTTTCTCCACCATAGATTTACAACCACATTTTTTTAAGGCTGCAGCCACCCAAAACAAACCCTAAGCCTCTCTCCCAACTTTTGCCTCTATTTAGCTTCAAGACAACCAAACTACCCATATAGATCTTAAGGTCATTATCATTAGTAGATAATGTGTATCTTGTAACACGAATAGTACTACAACACAAACAATGATCAGAGCATGGACCAAAGCATTGTGTTAAGATATCATAACATCATCATCACCATCATTCCAAACTGCACAGGAAGGTTACAGCAAGTTTGGTTGTTCCCTTGGCATTTTAAGCAGGCAAGAAGAGTGAGAAAACAATCCAATTTCTAACCCTCATACTCAATGCTTGTCCACTCCACTTATGAGCAAGTTGAATTTTTGCATGTTAAGAACACACTCTTTTGTTTGTTATGTTCAAAAGCCCAACAAACTTCTATGTTTAATTTTTCTTTTATTCTTTATATAACCCCCTTTTGTACTCTTTATGTTTATTATTAAATGAACTATTAAAGTTTTTTTTTATGCAAATCCCTTGGAGAAGCTTGGTAAATGATTCAAACCCTTGTGACATTGATGAGTTCATGTTTTATCTCCTTTGTGTTTTATTGGTTCTTAGCCCCTTCCTTTGACCCTTGGTGTCACCTTAAAAATATTCTTAATCATCTCATACATTTCCTCCTAGCACTCCATCTCATTCTTCAAATCTAAACCCCTAAACAATTAGCTTTCAGTTTTAGCTTCCATTCTCAAAAGTATACCACTTCCATGTCCTCCAATAGCTTCCCTACCGTCTTCCAAACAGTACCGAGCCCTAAACCCCATTCCCACTTCTTGACCACACCTTAATTAGGGCCTACGTGAGCCTTCCTACTTCTCCAAGCCCCACAAGTAATTCTATTTGTCTCTCATGTTGCATGATAGATGAGAATTAAATCATGGAAATAGATTCGAGAGATCCGACACACAACTTTGAACAAATGTACAAAAAATAAGAAAATACAAAAACACAAATTTTAATGTGGAAAAACCTGAGAACAGAAAAAATTCACAGAGCCACACCACACCAGTAAATTACATTACACTCCAGCTTCTTTACACACTTAGACACAAAGACACTCACAATCAACTCCTTGCACAAGAGAATTTGAAATCCGATTCTACATCGAAAAAATTGAAACTTTATGTGAAAATGACCCAAAGTTTGCTATTGGCACTAGGGAGCCGCGATAGTGGCACTACGACGC